TCAAAATAAGAAGTAAGTGTGCTTAGAATATTTATCTATAAGAAAAAAATGAGCAGTTTAGTTTGTTTTTATAAAATAGTGACATAAAAAATAATCATAAAAAAATGGAAATAGGCATTGACAAATAGATTTCTGAAACAGAGTATATTATACAAAACTAACTAAAAGGATTACAAAGGCTAGTAGGTGTGCAAGACCCTCTTTCTAAGCATTGGCCGCAGGGGTCTATATAAATGGGTGGGTCCATATAGGCATAGGAATCCATATAGTCCAATATACTGAAACAGAGCATATCACATGAAACTAACTAAGAGGATTACAAAGGCTGTAATAAATCCTAGTAGATGTGCAAGACCCTCTTTCCAAGCATCAGCTGCAGGGGTCCATATATATGGGTGGGTCCATACAGGTGTAGATATTGTAAACCCAGACATATAACAAAAAAATATACTTAACTCTTGTAGTCAAAGGTAAGATCATATCTTCATCCTCAACTTTTCTCTGCTTACTAAAAGTTTCTAAAAAATGAAATAGTACCTTCATTAATTGTAAAAAAATATGAAAGAAGTATAAAAGGTACTTAAAGGTACTTAGCACACTCTTCACCTCTGAGTTCCTTAATGAAATCTACAATTGCTAAAACTGAACCATCTGCTATTCCCCATTCCTCAAGCTTATCTTAATAAAAGCATGACTAGTGACCTTTTTCTCACAGATAATATCTAAGTCATCCTCATATAGCTGTATTTCTTCAGATAAAAATTTTATAAGTTTTTTGGTATTAAGCTTTTTAACATTGTCAAGTAATTTTTTTTTTTTACAGTCGAGGTAGATGTCATTGTTGTATCGGACAAACTGTACAAACTGTAGAAGAGAACAAGTTTTGCGCCTGCCCATGTGCTGGGAGTTTTTAGCAACTCTAGTGTTGCTGTCGTGACTAAAGTTGGGATCCGCAGTGTTAATTTTTTAGTTAAAATTTACTGTGCAGATACCGCACAATTTAGAAACTTTTCTGTGCAGCAAATCTAAAAAAACTATAAGCCAATACTTACAAAATGTTAATTTTTTCTGTGCGGCATCCGCACATCTGTTCAAAAGAAAATATGCGCAACATTTTGTTTCTGTGTGCTGCATATAGCGAAAAATAATCACTGGATCCGACTAAAGTTGTTGACTTATCCCCTGAAATTAGATGATCCTGCACGCATTAGTTAGCTGTTTTAGGCCTTCAGCAGCCAACCAAATTTTTGGATCAGGTGTATTAAATAGAGATGTACATCTCACGCGAAATGCTGATGTCAGAGTATATTATTTATATGAACTCGCGCGAAAATCAACAACATTTCGCGTGAAATGTACAGTTCGTTTTTATTGGCTATCAAATCAGATGATCTTTATTATTAAATATGATTAAATATATAACTAGTACTGATCAATTTCAAAAAGTCAAGGTTTTAAATAAAACCCGGATACTATAAGCAGTGCTATATGGTAATAAACCTTTATTTTGTTAAATTTTTATAATATATACTATATTTTTTATAGAAATAAAAGTTTTAATGGATAAAGTATTTAAAAAAAATTATATATACTTGTATATGTTTCTTGTTAAATATTTAATTAATGTTAGTATCAAAAATATTTATAAAAACAAACTAAGCAAAATTTTTTTAAATATTAAATATAAAAAAAATTGCAATCAAGGTTATACGGTATATATACTGTATAAAAAATAATCTACGTGCAGTACGTACGTACGTACTGTATGTAGGCTTTACTTGTGCCAGTAATACAACCCAAAAAAGGAAATTTAATTTGTAAATAAACAAAGTGCGTAAAAACACAAATTTAGGGT